GGTGTCCTTTTGACATCAGAGGCCAAATACCTCCACCTTCAGATTATGCTAACGTTACAATTTTCTGTACATATGTCCTATGAAATGCCCTGAACCCTGACTATGCTTGCTCAGAGCGAACCTATTACCTCATTTTTCCCCACCGCTAGTCAATTTTCCCCGTGCTTTACACCAGTCCACTTCCCTAACCCATAAATACCCCTAAGCCTTATTTTTGGGGAGGCAGATTTGAGAGCTGTTCCTCCTGCCTGCTTGCTTGGTAGCTTTGCAAATAAATCTTTTCTCCTTGGCAAAACCTGAATTGCAGTGATTGATTTACTGTAGGTGGGCAGAATGGACCTGGACCTGTCCAGTAATATCAGCATTAAAAATATGTATACAATTAACCCAACAATTCCACGTATTTGTCTTTGTAATGATTCTATTTGTTTAGTTTTTCTTCCTGCTTTGTTTGGGAGGTGGCCACGGCCCCTTTTAGAATATAAGCTCCAGGCTGCTGGGAGCCAGGTTCATCATCTTCGCCATGATATCCCTGGCATTTAGCAAAGTATTGTCTTTTGTTAGCTCGGGCCTGAGTTATATATACTTATTGAATGATTGAAATGGTGGAAGCGTAATTCCAATTCAGATTTTCTGACTGTAGTTCCCTTGATATTTTAGCATGCCACACAGTAGAGGTGTGAATAACAGACAGTGATTCTTCTCTCTAATTTTGTAGGAGGGAGACAAAAGAGAGGATGGGTGTTAGAGGGCCTAGGACCCATGCCTAGAATGCAAGAGATCCTCAATAAGGGCTGTTGATTTTGTTGTTCAGTCAGTGATTTCCTTAAAAACACTGACCCTTCAATATCAGGTTCTGCAATATCCTGGTTTCCTTTCTTCTGGATAATTTGTGAACTCTCCCTAGAGAGTAGACTAGAAGGACATTTGGTACCTTTAGAAGGAAGAATATGTTATTGCCTTGTGAGAGCAAAACTCTATTCACAGGGACTAATTAAATGATGGCATCAATGCTGTTCTCACCTGAGGACAAGCCTTGTTCCAACACTGCTTCAGCAAGAGATCCTGTGAGAGGAGCATCTGTCTCCCTTGGTGAGGTAGAAAGCATACACTACTAGTCATCCCTATGTTCTCATTTCTACCTTATAAATAATAACTCTTTTCAGTGGAGGGAGAATTGTTATTTCTGAGACTGTGCTGATGAGTATTCTTAGCAGAAAGCAGAGCTAACAAGCCAGCTATCCCTTTTCTGAGGCTTTTCTCTGGAATGTTAGTGGCAATGCTTTTTGACTTGTCAAAGCCTGAGGAATCCAAGTGGAAGGTGGTAGCTATATTGGGAAGGGCACAGTCTGGGTGATGAGCCACCCAGGTTCCAGCTGTGCCTCTGTCACCCATCACTCATGTGACTTTAGATAAACTGCACTTAATCTTTCTGAGTCTCAGGTCCACCGTTTACATGGAGGTGACTGAAAAAGATAGTTTGAAATGTCGTAGGATTCTTCAGCAAATAAAAGGGAAATAAGATGCTACTCTTGGAGGAAACTGGGTGAAGGGCTCATGAGATTGACTCTGTTATCTATTTTTTGTGACTTCTTACGAGCCTATATTATTTCAAAATAAAAAAATTGAAAAAAGAAAATGAAATATAAACTTTTTCAGATGCGCAAAAGCTAAAAGAATTCATCACCAGCACACCTGCTCAAGAAATATTGAAAAAAGTGCTTCAGACAGAGGCAAAAATAATACCTAAACAAAGGAATAAAGAGCACCAGAAATGGTAAATATGTGGGTAAATATTAAAAAAACTAAAAAAGGGAAATGGATGATGGAACAAATTCCCAGAGACTTGTAAATAAATAACCCCCCTTTGGGTTTTTGCTTAGTACTATTCTAAGAGACTCTTAGCTTAGCTGAGCTTCTCTAATCAATAGCAACTTCCCAACCTGTGCTTTGCCTCAATGTAAAAAGCAATTTGAATCTCACCAGGAATTTAAAAACACGAAATACTGGAATTTGGGATCATACGCTTGAAGTTGGCCTTGATGACACTTTAAAAACTCCTCCAGGTACACCATTCCATGAAGTTCAAAAGAAATCTGAAGACCTGTGGTCTGTTGGTATTCTCAGATCCAGTCAATGTAAGTTTTCTATAATGTATTTTTATAATAAAATGCAAGAAAAAGCCAGGCTCAGTAGCTCATGCCTGTAATCCTAGCACTTTGGGAGGCTGAGGCAGACAGATCATGAGGTCATGAGATCAAGACCATCCTGGCTAATTCGGTGAAATCCCATCTCTACTAAAAATACAAAAAATTAGCCAGGCGTGGTGGCGTGTGCCTGTAGTTTCCTCTACTCAGGAGGCTGAGGCAGGAGAATCACTTGAACCTGGGAAGCGGAAGTTGCAGTGAGCTGAGATTGCACCACTGCACTCCAGCCTGGGTGACAAAGCAAGGCTCCATCTCAAAAAAAAAAAAAAAACAAAAAAAAAAAAGCAAGAAAAATGTAACCCAAATAAAAATGCAGTGCAATAAATTTACTAGAATTCTTATTATTTTCCACAAAATAATTTTATTTCTCATAGACAATTCAAACAGAAGACTTTCTTACTTTACTAATTTTTAACAAACACTTTATTTGACAAAAATTTGAGTCACAGAGAGGAATCAGCTTATCATTTTTATTTCTGGGCATATAAATCCATTATTTGGCTACATTGTGTACTACTCACACTGATTACATTGTCTCTACCCCTGTTGTGTTCTGTATGAGGATCGGTATTAGAGAATTTTCATATTTATATCCACATTAATACCTGCTTAGTTTTGAATCCCTACATTTAAGTCTTTGCCTCCTTACACTGTATGAAGAATTTATTGCCCAGGATGTTGATGATGGTGATAGAGACTCACGTATTGAACGTTTATCTGTACAAATGCTTGATTTGAATTGTTTTTTATGCCTCTCTGTAGCCTCAGGGTGTTGCTCTACTCTTGTCTTTGTTTTACAGATAAGGGAATTGAGTCTTGAGAAGTTGTTCATAGTAACACAGCCAATAAAATGGCAGAGGAGGGATTCAAACCCAGATGTGTTTACGGGACAGTTTGGTACCATGAAGCCCACAAACTCTGTGGCAAGACTGCCTGGCTACAAGCCCCAGTTCTGCCCCTTATTAGTTGCGTCGCTTACTTTCTAACTCTGAAAAACAAGGATAAAAGCAGTACTCTACTTCATGGGAATAACGTGAGGATTGAACAAGCTGACGTATGTAAGTGTTTGGATAGTGCTTGGCAAAGCCGAAATGCTACGTTTCTTTGGCCATAATGTTCTACCCTGAAAATGTCCCCACCAGACTCATCACTTGCAGAAGTTATATTTACCTTCTTGCAATAAAGTGCAGAGAGAAAAAAAGGTAGCTGTTTCATGATCAACACATGAATTTTCTCTCCAGTGTTTCTATATGTCTAGGTACCTCTTTTTCCTTCTGACACTTGATGGTTTTCCTTAATTCTTATCATACTGAGCATTAAATCTTCAGCAAGTTGGGGGATTCAGCTACTTTAAGAAGATCTATGTTTCCAGGAAAAGGATAGGGTGGTAGAGAGGGTTAGTGACAGTTTTAAAATTTAAGATAGGCACAGGTGTCACCAAAGTGCCAGGGGTTCTGTCCAGGTCCTCTTGTTCACCGCATACTGAGACAAGGAGTATTCCTGGGGAAAAAGGCTTTAATTGGTTGTTGAGCTGGAAGATAGATTAGTCTCAAAACCATCTCCTCAACCAACTGAAATTAGAGGTTTATACAGCAGGGAGGAAATGTAACTGTGTGTGGGAAAACAGGAGTTAGGGACAGGTAAGGAAGAGGAATTGGACAATAAGAAATAGGCGGTTAGTTAGGAAACCAGGGAGGGCTGAGGAAGCAATTATGATGAATGTGGGGTCTGATATCTTATTGTCTGGATGCAATGGTTTGGTGAGTTTTAGTTCTGTGATCTTTTTTGGGATATCTGAGGGTTGATGTTTTGAGGAGGGAATTCAGATAAGAATTTAAAATGTAGATTTTAAGTTTTAAGACCAGAAGAGCAAGTTTTATGTTTATCCATGACTATATTAGGTCTATTTCACAGACATTTCCTTAGTATCATTAGGGGAATGAAGGGTGAGTTGGGATATTCTGTCATATGAGGTTATGATTGATGACCGGTTAAGACAATGGATCTGTTCCCTCTGCCCTTGTAGCTTCTCTTATGCAGTTATAGGCAGATAATCATCTAATAGTACGTTTTACTGATGCTCCCCATTTTTAAAAATTTTGTTTTTTACTTTGAGTCCTCCCTGTAGATTGCAGAGGGACTAGTAGTCCTTAACTAAAAGGATTACACCAAGGTCAGAGAAAGCAAAACTCAGAAGTATATAAAATGTGTAAAGCAAGGGGGAGGAGAAAGTTAAGTTGTCTTCCTAGGTATGACGCCGTTGACAGTGTGCGGATGCAGTAAATGAGAAAGTAGAGAAGTAGAGAATTTGATAAGTCTCCAGCCACAACCAAGTCAGTTTCTCTCAATCCTGCTTTAGTTTGTTTTACATCAATTTGTATTACCATTGGGAAAACTGACAAAAAGTATAACCAAGTTCACTGCAAACTCCAAGAAGAAAGCTTTAATTCAAAGTATGGACCATACATGCAGGGACTTCAGGAGGTCCTAATTCTTCTTGGTTTTCTCAAGTGCAGTCTTATCTGTGTTGAAAGCGATCGGAGATTTATTCCAGTTTGAATTAGAAAATAAACGTCTGTTAAATGTTCAATCCCAGCAGCCACAAAAAAAGCAAATTTAGATAATTAAGTTATTATTTTCATCTAAGAATTGAGATATATAGTGCCTCCTGATGCTCAAGTTAACAGATATACATATGCTTACAATTTGTGGTCAGCAGATTAAATTTGTATAAGAATTTTGGAACAGAAGTGGGTTAAAAGGGATAAAGGGTATGTTAAAGGAAAGCTTGCAATGTTTTCCCCCCATGCCATTCTTGTCTTTATAGGCAATACTGCACCTGCATTCTCAGTGAACTTGAAGTCTATGGAAATACCACACAGTATCACAGAATTTTTCATGCTGGGACTCTCACAGAACTCAGAGGTACAGAGAGTTTTCTTTGTGATCTTTCTGATGATCTATGTGGTCACGGTTTGTGGCAACATGCTCATTGTGGTCACTATCACCTCGAGCCCCACCCTGGCTTCCCCCATGTATTTTTTCCTGGCTAACCTATCTTTTATTGACATCTGTTATTCGTCTTCTATGGCTCCTAAACTGATTGCTGACTCCTTGTATGAGGGGAGAACCATCTCTTATGAGGCCTGCATGGCTCAGCTCTTTGGAGCTCATTTTCTGGGAGGTGTTGAGATCATTCTGCTCACAGTGATGGCCTATGACCGCTATGTGGCCATCTGTAAGCCCCTGCACTATACTACCATCATGACCAGGCATCTCTGTGCCATGCTGGTAGGGGTGGCTTGGCTTGGGGGCTTCCTGCATTCATTGATTCAGCTCCTCCTGGTCCTTTGGTTGCCCTTCTGTGGGCCCAATGTGATCAATCACTTTGTCTGTGACTTGTACCCTTTGCTGGAAATTGCCTGCACCAACACGTATGCCATCAGTCTGCTGGTGGTTGCCAACAGTGGTGTAATCTGCCTGTTGAGCTTCCTCATGCTGGCTGCCTCCTACATTGTCATCCTGTACTCCTTGAGGCCGCATCGCGCAGATGGGAGATGCAAAGCCCTCTCCACCTGTGGAGCCCACTTCACTGTTGTTGTTTTGTTCTTTGTGCCCTGTATATTTACTTATACGCATCCATTTTCTACTTTATCTATAGACAAAAGCATGGCATTGTTTTATGGTATTCTGACACCTATGTTGAATCCACTCATTTATACCCTGAGAAATGAAGGGCTAAAAAATGCTGGGAGAAAGCTCTTTACATGGTAAGAAATTGCAGGTGGATAATGAGTGGTAAAGCAAGAAATAAAGATGACTTTAGTTTTGTAAGTGAAACAAACCAAGGCTTACTTTTTTGTATCATGTATCATCGTATTCCATCTTAGGCATTATTTCATCTTCACTGACTTATTTTTTCTTTTTTTTTCTTTTTTTTTTTTTTTTTGAGACGGAGTTTCACTCTTGTTACCCAGGCTGGAGTGCAATGGCGCAATCTCGGCTCACCGCAACCTCCGCCTCCTGGGTTCAGGCAATTCTCCTGCCTCAGCCTCCTGAATAGCTGGGATTACAGGCACGCACCACCATGCCCAGCTAATGTTTTATATTTTTAGTAGAGACGGGGTTTCACCATGTTGACCAGGATGGTCTCGATCTCTTGACCTCATGATCCACCCGCCTCGGCCTCCCAAAGTGCTGGGATTACAGGCTTGAGCCACCGCGCCCGGCCGACTTTTTTTTTTTCTTTGAGATGGAGTCTCACTTCATCACCCAGGCTGGTGTGTAGTGGCAAAATGTCGGCTCACTGCAACCTCTGCCTCCCAGGTTCAAGTGATTCTCGTGCCACAGCCTCCCAAGTAGCTAGGATTACAGGCACCAGTCACCATGGCCAGCTAATTTTTGTATTTTTAGTAGAGACGGAGTTGGCCAGTCTGGTCTCGAACTCCTGGCCTGAAGTGATCTGCCTACCTAGGCCTTCCAAAGTGCTGGGATTACAGGTGTGAGTCACCATGCCCAGCCTTCACTGACTTTTTTTGTTTATTATTTTCACTTAAATTGCATAATTTAATTATAATATGAAATATACATTGTATGAATGATTATTATTCCTATTTTAGAAATCAAAAACTCTGTTTACTATGTGGTTAGTCAATTAATCAAGATTATCTAGTTTTGAAATGCCTAAACCAAATTTTGATCCATCATCTAGATCTTTAAGCAGCAATTCATGTTGACATCATTTGAGCCTGTGTGATAATTGACTGAGTTGTAGAAACACGAGGCAAAATGTTGCTTAACACTTAGTCACGTATAGCAGGGTCTGCATCCAGGCCTGGCTTCTGTTTCTTCTCATTACTCTGTGTGACGTTAGCAATACTGCTGCTACACCATAGCAGAGAGATTAGGAGTTTGGCTCTGGAGACAGAGCATTCTGAGTTTGACTCTTATTTTCTTCGTTTTTTTTACAAGTTCTGGGGTACAGGTGCAGGACATGCAGTTTTGGTATATAGGTAAACATGTATCATGGTGGTTTCCTGCACCTGTCAACCCCTCACCTAGCTATTAAGCCCAGTATGCATTAGCTCTTTTCACTAACGCACTTGCCTCCCAAGCCTCCCCTGACAGGCTCCAGTGAGTGTTGTTCCTCTTCCTGTGTCCACCTGTTCTCATTGTTCAGCTCCCACTTATTCTTTTTTTTTCTTTTCTTTTTTTTTTTTTT